TATCAGTTACCATAAGAGTGAGGTGAAAGTCAACCAATCTTCAAAAGGGTAATACTTGATGATACTTGACCATAAGAAGAATATTTGTAGAGAATACATTCCAGAAGTTGTAAACAAACTCTGTCATTGACCACAGAACAAAAAAAACAGAAATATAAACCCAAAACAACAAAAATTCACTTAGACCTCTCGGTGACCTCTATGGATCTGGCTCTGCTCGAATGGAGATGATATGAGATCTTGAAAACAAAACATTATTGTTATTAGCTAGTCCCAAATGTGTTTTCAGCAAAAAAGTTTCACTTTGTAAATCAGTACCATGATAAACTGGTATTTAGATCATTTAACAACCCAAGATTTGGAATAATCCATCAAGAACCCTAGGTGAAACATTCTTCCTGGTTTTCTAATCAAATGAGTTATTTCTAAGAGGAAATGAGACGAGAAATGGAGAAAAAGAGCCACAATTATGCTGAAAAGTAGCTTAAAGCTGTAAAATGTGATAGCCCTTAACATATGCTATAATAAGTCAGGGGGCAGGAACATGGGTGCTGAGGTTTTAATGGACAAAACAGTCTTCTTCTCTTTATGAAGTATCAACTTAAAACAACTGGCTCTAATTGCTGGTTTGAGTTGGTTTCAAGAAATGGAACAGCGTAAAACAGATTAGTTTAAGGTATGTTTTACTCAGAGAAACTTGAATATGATACACTGAATAGTTTTGGCTTGCTTTATGTCTTGCCGATGCTGATTTACCTGTAAAAGTGAACCACTGACATCTAACCCCTCTGACTGCTAGTAAAATATTTACAAAATCGTATCCTTTCAAATGATGTTCATTTTAATACTGCCCTGATGTTGTTCTTGACAGGGTAGGGGGCTTTAATTTTTTGCCTAGCCTCAATCTAAGGTAAGGTGAATTTACCAAAAAATCAGTTTAGACAACTTGAACTAATTCCACAATATGGTTCATATGGGAAAAGTTAAAAGATATCAGTTACTGAGATTTGAATGAGATTTCAAGTAACTGATCACTCAGTAGAGATCAATCCATCAGCACATAGAAGAAGTTTTTAAACTAATCAGTTAGACAAACAAAAACAATCTCACTGTCTGGAGAATGACAGATGGCATACAGGCCTAGCTTGCCTACAAAAAACATACATTTGTCACTGGAGAGTACTTTCGAATGTTAGCCTTAATATGCCTAAAGATAGCCACAAGAAAGGAAGAATTCAAAATGGTTCATTAGTTACGGGGTTCATTTAAATTTCTGATGTGCAAATGGTTGGATAACATAACTTTAACATGGAAACAGTTGCTAACTTCCTCAAAACAACAGGGGATTTTGTTTAAAACAACAACACTGAGAAAATCACTGCTGGTGAAATCTGCAATACTACTGAAGCTGAGGTTCAGATAAGACTGAAGAAACTGTCAATATCTGATTAAAAGATGCTAATACTGAACATGAAAAATACCAAAACTTAAGGCCACCACTCTTTCATTTACATTATTTTTTGAGGCTAGGCACTTGACTGTACCTCTCTAGCTCATTTTTATCAGGTACCCCTCCTATTCCTTCCCTTTGGCTCAATACACTTCCTTCCCTTTTATAAAAGAACATTGTTCGAAAACTTAATAAGTCCAAAGTATTTTCGTACAAAAGTTTGAACAGGATATTATCAGGCAAAACTGTTTGCTGATATTTGACTGTGAAAATACTGACATCGTTAAGTAGTGCTTATAACTGCTCAAATTTTTTTTCATCAAATCAGTCTAACAAAATAGTTTAATATCATAATTAATTTTACTCCCACATAACACTTCAAGTGATCTATCCATCACGTTAAACACACAAAGCTCCTATGTAAACCTCTAAAAACATTTTTCACAAAAAACGTAATTTCGGGCTAGGTTAAATCAAGAAACCACCTCATAACTGTGCATCATACCACCAAAACATATTATTCTCCTTTCCAATAAACTTTTTTCTTTATTTTTTAAGATCACACGGAAAAAACAAGCTCATGTGGAATAACCAAGATCTTTGCATAAATATTTTCCTGGAATAATTCTGACTTTTTATATGTATTCTTTGATGAATTAAATTGATCTAAAAAGGATCCTATCTTCTTCATGTATGTGACATTCAATTATTTTGATCTATCACCTAAATGCAGAACATAGAACATTGGTTCTCCCTGGAGTGAAATATTTTATTTTTTACAAATTATTAACCATCAAAAAGAACAATCACAAATCATATAAGTTGATGGTCATAAAACTAACAACATATCTATTAAATATCCCAGAAATTTTTTTAAACAGGGAGTCACTAGAAGCACAGGACTATATTGGTATTTGATACTGGGATACTGTGAGAAAATTACAACTTCTCTATGTTGGAGTTAGATGGCTGACAGTATGAAAAGTGATAATGTATTTACTCCATGATGAACTAGTAGGGGGTAGAAAATACAAAATCACTTCTGATGTATAACTGTGTCTTCTCTACGATGTTTCAAAATCTGATTTTTCATTCACACTTACACCTTGGAAAAAGATCATTAAAATGTAAGATTGGTGATGCTGTTTAAACAGAGTGTGGGTGGTTAAACCACCACTCTGATTAGTTTTACCACTTATTTTAGTATCACATACCTTTTTAGAAATATGGTTTTTCATGCTCACACTATGGAAAAGTTCATCAAAATTGGGGAATGGTGATTCTATCAAAAAAGAACGTGGTTAGTGAAACCACCACTTAAATTAAGTTTCACCACTTAGTTTATATTAATAAATACCACACAAATTTTACAGAAACCATCATGATTTAACAAAGGCAGTCACCACTTTCTAATTCGTATTCACTTTTCCAGCACTAATTTTGTAGAGAAATTATGGAGGACCTTATAAGGCACGTTCATATTGACATATTGATAGATATAAGCAGGATAATAATGGTAAAGATAATACCTAATCCGGCAACAATTATTAAGACAAATGATAATGAATTACGCAGGATTGATAATGAGTGAAATAATCAATGATTTCCTCAATGTTCTTCATAGAGCAACCACTTATGAAGATTAAGGGAGATCTGCATGATTATAAATCTGCATGATTATAATTTTGCATGATTATAATTACAAATAATTGATGGTAAAGGTAATATTTTTCACATTTTATATGGATTTATATGGTATAACACACTCTGTTAAAAATCAAAACATCAATGTTTGGTTATCATCTTTTTTGTGAATTGTGGAACTTCCTTAACATAGTTTCTCAATGTTCAAATAGATTTGCCATTTTGTTCCATATAACAGTTTTCTTACGAGAAACCTAGTGCTAGTTTGATTTTATATCAATATTATATATCAGTATGGTAGATTTTTGAAATCACCAGAATGTAGATTTTCAATTCCAAGGCAGCTCAAGCTAATTCAGTACAATGTGCCAATACAGAACCTATAAGAAGTTTAGGTTTTTCGCCTCATCAAATTACAATCCAGAGGTCATACAAACAGACAAAGAATTTCTGCACTGTTTAATTCATTGAGGTTAAAAATGTGGTCCAAACCCAGAGCCACAAATATTGCCACTGACCATAATTAAAAGGACACTGTTTTGGCCACATGTTATTTTGTACTTGGTATCATCAACAACTCTTTTAAACAGGCACTGACCACTACAACAATTTAAACCAGAGCAGTAATCTCTTATACATGTATGAATGGAAGTAGTTACAGCACTGATTTGAGATTTTTAAAATGGGTTTGCACCCAACTGGAAACTAATTTGCACCCACATTTGGTCAGATTTATGAGTAAAGAGAACATACTTGACGAAAAACCTTTAAGAGAATTTTGTATTTGGGCAACATTTTAGATATTGTTTTCAATTCTATCCAATCTATGCTAATGTTGGCACAAAACAGATCCACAATACGAATGAACACCTGAAAGTTGCACTCAACAGAAGTGTTGAAAAATGAAATAAGTTGAAATTAGAACATGAATTGCTCTGAAAACTGAAATAGCTCTGGAAATAGTCAATATGAAAGCTGGTTCTTTAAGCTCCAGTGATCATTTCTCTTTCAGAGTCAAAGATGGTTAATTTCCCAAGTCACTGAAATATCTTATATAGCTCTTCTGGGTTATATTTGATGAATATTGGATTATAATATGACTCTCTGTTGAGAATTAAATAATTGTGTTTTATCCTGTTTAAACATTTCAACCTAGTTTTAGCATCATACATGTATACATTCATATTTCATGAATAACATACATTTGGGGCACCTTTCATCAAAATTAGTTAATGTCATTTTAAATATGCGCTAAGTGAAAAAACAAGGGATACCTATACACTGATCAGTCTGCCATCATGCTATATTTACGACTGTTTCAACAAGAAATGAGTTCTACTTTACTCCAATTGTGGGGTTTAGAGTTATAGGAGTCTCTAGATATAGCACCACTTATGAATGTACCATAAACACAAGAGACAATGTTCGGCTTGTATTATGATAGACATATCTTTGGGGCCTCTCATAACATTTATGGCGAGTCTACTTATAAATGTCACATGTGCTACAAAATCATCTGTTATCATTCTTCAAACATATATCGTCTTTTGGAGATTTCTTTCTGGTTTCCCTACTCGTCACTGACCAACCATCAATAAGAGTCCCCAACTGGACTCTAAGGAATCAAAGTCAGAAGGAAAATAGAACCTGTACTTGAACACTCCATTGCATTTATTAAAAAAATAACTTTGTGTTCAACGTACAAACTTAAAGATAGCAGTGCAGCACCAAAAGGAACTATTGAATTCTTATTTAATCGAATTTAGAATAAAATCATTGAAAAGTCAAAGTGAAAAAATTCAAAAATAATTCCAAGGTTTTGAACATTGAATAATTATGTTTCGCTTTGTACGATTATATAATAAACTACATATTTTGAAAAACAGATATGTTATGTACTACTCACCATATGTAAACGAACACAAACACACCACGATTTGTAGAATAACGTCTCTTAATCCGAGATATGGCCGCATCTTTGCGGCCATTTTAGCAGGTTACTGTAGGCTGTTCCTTTTTGCGCGTGCCCTCCCTTGTTTTAGCAATACACCTGGCGGACACAACATGAACTAAATTTGGGGACCTGTCATTCTCGCACTCTAGTACTTCCGGAAGTACAAGTGAAAATCAAAATAAACCAGAAAAATACGCGTTTCTTGGTGAGTACTGCATCATCGACATTAAAACCTGCGAATGAATAGATGCACATGTTTTAGACCAACATTTTAATCGTGTAACATTCTGACTTTGTGGCTGTGTGGTCTTGAATGGATCAAAAGGCGAAAAGTATAATCAAATTTTGACCTTGAATTTTGACACTGACAGTTGAGTTGATCAAATGGAATTTGTTACTTCGGTCCAAAGCCTTCTCTATATTCCGGCTTTGAGGAGGAAGATTGAGCTGCCTTAGTATTATAAATATTGTAAATCATTGTGTCACACGCACAGTAAATATGGCATAATAATATGAAATATACCTTTATGTATAGATTTGAAGAACATCAGCTCACATCCCCGTCTGAATCTATTGTTATATTTGATTTCTTTAAGCGAGAATAATTTCAAATGTTATTCACGTCCAGAACCGGAAGCCATTTTTAGCTACAGCGAGAAAATTTCACCATTTGTCAAACTCCGAAATGAAATTTTGAAATATCTAAATCCAGACAAGCAACGCTTCATCCTAAATATTATTAATATTCTTAAAAATATTTATAAAATTTATTAAAAATGAGTTCTAGGTGCGTGTAGGTGCGTGTAGCACATTACATACGAAATCAATGAAGTTTCGTCTAGCTGTAAGCTAGAGACTCGAGTAAGGAATTTGAACCTGGCTTTTGAGTCATTGTGTTCAGTTGCAGGTATACAATGAAAGCCTCACATCTTCGACACAACAAAGAATAGAAAATAGACGACACAAAACCATGACACAAGATTTCAATGTTGATGTCGTTGTTGTTGGGGGTGGTCTCTCTGGTTTGTCTGCTGCCCATTTGATCCAACAGAAAGATGCAAGTGTTCGACTCCTTGTGTTAGAGGCTAAAGGTATGTGTGAATCAGACCTATTGGCAGGTTTTGTCTGGAGGGGTCTTTGACTTTCTATCCCATATGTTGCAATGAGCATTACATTTGAGATCTTCCAATGAAAAACATGATAGTCTACTGCTGAACATGTAGGTTTGCTATGCAAGGTGTGTCCAATTCCGGCCAATCAGAACATGCTGTGTCATATAACTGCATTCCATTATATAACCAATAACGCATTTGTTGTATGGTTGTCTAGGTGAGGAGATTGAAATAGATGCTTTCCCAACTTGCCCCTTGCAAAAAACTTCATTGAAAATATGTTCTTTTAGTGACGCTGTATCTTTTAGGTGATTCTGTAGAAAATATAAATTTTGCCATGTATGAAAAGAATTTTAGTCCAAGAAGACTCAATGCATTGAGGCTGTTTCATTCCACTCAGGTGTTGTTTCCTAAACTTTGTATTAAGAAATATAGACCGAAGAGAAGGGGTAATATTGTCGAATACACCCCGCAGTGCTAGGCACAAACATTTTCTGCACCCGGAATGACCGGTATGGAATAAAATATATTATCCTGTTGTGCCTTATATAGTATAGTACATCCAGGTATTACAAATTTGTCATCAATCTTTGGATCCTGGTTATGCATGTGGAATGCCCAAAGACATTACGTATAGGGCATGTAATGTGACTTTGAATGTGAAATTCATGCATCAATATACATGTACAACTGTTTTTTGTTATAGACCGTGTTGGAGGAAGAACTCTGACAAAAAAGTTGATGTCTTCAGGTTCGTCTGAGGATGCATGGGACTTAGGAGGTCAGTGGGTTGGCAGGTATGTTTAAATCTTAGAGGTTATGTCACTATGACATGAAATATGCCTGAGTTCTCCCAATATAGGCCGGCCTTGGAGGCTCTACAGGTTGGGCCAATAAAAATTGGAACATTTTTCTAGTTATTCAAATTGTCTTTATTTTTGCAGTTGAATCCACAAAAATTCAGATAATGGTAAAATGATTATTTGTGAAAATGTTAAAGATAAAAATATGTTTGTATGATAAATTCTACATTCTGTGTGGGAGACGAACCTACATTTACTGTAGGACCCTAAAATCCAAAGCCTGATACTCTACACTGTGTGTATCGACTGGGCCACCAAAGCTTATAAGCTTGAGTACATGTAGCTGTGCTGTAGTAGCAACTTGCTAACCATGGTGATCATAGTATCATTAATCTACATGTATTTCAGAACACAGCCAAAGGTGATGAACCTCATAGAGGAGCTGGGTCTGACAATATTCCGACAGTTTCATAATGGCAAGAAGCTAATGATGCTTGGAGATGACAAGATTCGCTCTTACAAGAATACAATTCCCTCCCTGAGTATATGTGCGCTTCTTGACTTGAATCATTTTTTACAGAAGGTACTAATTAGGAGCTCAAAATGGAGAATTAGTAAATATTCCATTTTAACAATTTCATTTCCCCTAATAGTTTTATAGCATGGAGCTCATTCTTCATTGAATTACATGTACCTGCTTAATTTTGTCATACATTTAGATATGCCCAGTCTACAGTACGTATAATCGAAAATATCCAACTTTCATTACTCTTTGCATCAATAAACTCTTGTTGAGTGAACTCTAATTGTGCAGGGTCATGCGTGAGCATATTTGTTGCATACATGTGTAACATTTTATCTCCAGGTTGACTACATGTGTCGTCAAGTGCCTGTTGACCAACCAATCAAATGCAAGCAAGCAGAGGCTTGGGACAGGATGACGCTACACAGTTTTATGCAAAAGACGTTATGGACTAAAGGTAAACAATTAAGGCCTCCACAGCCTAACCCCGGAGCCTAACAGTCTGTTTAGTAGAATCAATTTAATAGAAATTATCTGGTTGGGACCAGGATTTTCTTGTATAATAATGCAAAAGACTTCAAAGATAACCCCTAAAAAACGTATACATGATTGCTGTCGCAGTGTTGCGACAGCCAATCAAATTGCGAGTTCTTAATCGGGGAAATGCTAACTGCTTATAGCAGGGGGGAAGAAGGAGGTACGGATTCTGGACAACTGCTTAGGAGGATGATAAGTAATATCACATATTTCTATCTGCCAAAAACACAGTTTAGACAACAGTAAGAATTGTATTGAGTATCGAGACGTCACAAATATCTACTTCACTTCCTTCACTATGGGGATCAAATCATAGAATTGAGCCTCATCCTTTATACTAGCATATGACATGTTATATTTTTCAAGGTGCCAAAGACACAATGGATGCAACAGTGAGAATTGTATTGGGTGTCGAGACTTCACAAATATCTGCTTTATTTCCTTCACCGTGGGGAACAAACCATAGAATTGAGCCTCATCCTTTATACTAGCATATGACATGTTATTTTTTTCAAGGTGCCAAAGACACAATCGATGCGAAGGTGAGAATTGTATTGGGTGTCGGGACATCGCAAATATCTGGTTTATTTCCTTCACTGCGGGGGACAAATCATAGAATTGAGCCTCATCCTTTATACTAGCGTATGGAATGTTATATTTTTGCAGGTGCCAAAGATACAATCGATGCAACAGTGAGAATTGTATTGGGTGTCGAGACATCACAAATCTCTCTGCTTTACTTCCTTCATTACGGGGCAGCTGCTGGCGGTCTTGAGCCTCTTATTGAATCTAATGAAAATGGTGGTCAGGAATATAAAATTCAGGTAAACAATTTTACAAAACATTTTACAATTTCAAGAACTTCAATGCGAATGGTTTTGTATATAAGATATATGATATTGCTATTTCGCAGTGATTGGTATTGGTAACCATACACAGTTTTGAAATGTCGCATTTTACTCCCGATTTTACTATTTATTACTGTTAATGTAGCCTAGTGGAAGGTCTTCTTCAATAAAATTACAATTTTGACTCCTAAACTCTGTAAACATGTGAGATATTTGTTACTTTATGTACCTGCAGGCAGATAGCCAGCTTTTGCCAAGGAGAGCGGGGTTCACATTTTAGAAAATTTCAAAAGTCACCAGAATGGTGAAAAGCTGCATGATTTTGAAAGAATTTTTGGCTGGGGGGTTCAATATGGACCTGCACTGTATCGACTAGAATGAATAAATATTAAAAGAAAAAAAGGATTGTCTTGAAACTCATTGCATTTGGCTTACTTTAAATGGTCTAAATACTTAAAGATTGTCATAGTTAATGATCTAGTATGTTATTCTAAAAGAGAAGAAAATAAATTAAATATATTTTCTTATTTAATACAGGGTGGTGCACAACAGTTGTCACAGATGCTGGTAGATAAAATTGGTGTTGAAAATGTTTGGTTATCTCACCCTGTATTCAAGATAACCCAGGTATGTTTGCGAATATTGAGATAATTTGCTGAGGGGATGAGGGGGATGGGGGATTTTGAAATAAAATTAATATTGGCACTTTAGTGTTATTTTTAGGATTTTGCATTTAAAGCAACACTGAAGACTTTGAGATATAAACTGTTTATTCCTAAGAGTCTAAATATTTCAGTACCCAGATGTGAAAAAAATGAAATTGAATCCTTGATATGTTAATTATGACACCAGTTACTCTATGACATCACATGACAAGCAGCAAAATACAACTATCTATCGCCGATCAAGGGTGTGAAAAGCATGAAATCTTTTTATCAGAAAATATTACCTAAAGAGGCCACTGTACTCAGGGGTTTCACTAGTATTCTTTCAACAGGCTAAATAAATGAAAACAACAGGAAAATTAATGGAAATCATAAATTTAACATGGAAAAGTTGAAAAGTCCCTCAAAACAACATGCGATCTTGTGAAAACTGGTGAAGATCACCTGTTGGCTGCTGCTAATGTAACCCCTGGTACTGAATAAATGCCATGAAGCTGACCTGAGTACAAAGGAGATGTTCAAAGTTCAAAAAGTAGTTAAATATCCAAGTAATAATCTATCTATGCAACGTTTGAGAAGGAGACATGTACCCTTTGCATTCGTTCGACTTCACTTCTTAAAAGAGAGTTTCTTCTATAGCTTATAACTAGACTCTGTGTGCAAAAAAGTAGTTAAATATCCAAGTAATAGTTTATCTATGCAATGTTTAAGAAGGATACCCTTTGCATTTGTTCGACTTCACTTCTTGAAAGAGAGCTTCTTCTATAGTTTATAACTAGACTCTGTGTGCAAAAAAGTAGTTAAATATCCAAGTAATAGTTTATCTATGCAATGTTTAAGAAGGATACCCTTTGCATTCGTTCGACTTCACTTCTTAAAAGAGAGCTTCTTCTATAGTTTATAACTAGACTCTGTGTGCAGGATGGTACATTGAAGTGATAATACAAATGTCCCATTCTAATGATTCAACGTTAAAATAATCACTTAACTATGTTGCTGAATTAAGTATTTCTTTTTCAGACAAACAGTGGAGTTACTATAGACACTCTAAATGGTAAATGTGTACAATGCAACAGAGCAATCATCGCCATACCCCCAATGCAATCAGGTAATATAGAACCCATATTCCTAGATAGGTATTGAGCTGATAGAAAGATGACAGGGCTGTTTTTCTCTTGTCCCATCTTCCGAACATGGAGCCCTGTTTTTCAGTACAACCCCAAAATGCAATCTGATTTTTTACGCCGTTTTTTGACTGGTCCGGTGCCAAATTTTGGTGTCAAAAGGTTTCGGTGCCGGAACGGTGTCGAAACCGTGCAGGAACAGCGCCAAATTCTTTCGATGACGAAACGGCGCCAAATTATATTGGCTGTGTATTTGGACGATGGGTTTATCCATGGGCTTTCTCTTGAAAGCCCATGGTTTATCAATACAGTGAAACTTGTCTTGGTGAGCACCTCTCTAGTAAACACCTCTTCTAAGCACATACTCCATTGATTCTCTGCCTCTCTGTAGTGAACACCTACTTACAGTGAACACATCTTTGTGACAGGTGTTCACTGTACATAGGTTTTACTGTATAATGTCGCTGTTTATACCCAAATAGAGCAGGTGGCTCAAAAACAAGAAAATGTATAGACAAATCATACTGCCATCTTTCTATTATTCCAGTACATATACTCAAACTCTCAAGGGATTTTAGTTCAATAGATGGTGCAGTGATTGGTTTGCTTGTAATATTAGTATGGAGGGTGGGGGATGGGGGCTTCCCCTGGCCAAAATTCTTTCAAAATCATGCAGTTTTTCACTGGCTATTATTGGGGGTCTTTGATGACAGTATGTGGTTGAATGAAATCTCACAGTCCGTGCATTACTGTAGACACTGTACCATCTATAGATTGACTGAATACCCATAATTCTAGGACATGAAATGCATATAATTCATTTCTTTTTTATTATTTATTAACTAGCTACAGTGTATATTTATATCTGTCTATAACAATAAAGCACATACATTAGCCTGCACTTCAATACAATTTAGAATGTACATTTCATTGTAATTTACTTTATTCCTTGCTAATTCCACTCCTTATAATCTTATTCAGATTTCATTTTTCAAATCAAGGCAATCGTTATATTCTGCTTGCATGGGTCATTTTAGGACGAATCCTGCATGAGCCTGACCTTCCTTGTTACAAAAGAGAACTGTACCAAAGGATGCCTGTTGGCCATATCATCAAGTTTATAGTCATATACAAAAATGTGAGTCATGATATATAGTCATATACAAAAATGTGAGTCATGGTATATAGTCATAAAAAATATGAGTCATGACATTTAGTCATAATGTATAGTCATATACAAAAATGTGAGTCATGATATATAGTCATACAAAAATGTGAGTCATGATATATAGTCATACAAAAATTCAAGTCATGAGATACAGTCATTAAAAAGTGAGTCATGATATGTAGTCATACAAAAATATGAGGCATGACATTTACTCATAATGTATAGTCATATACAAAATTGTGAGTCATATATAGTCATACACAAAAATGTGAGTCACATTTTTGTGTTTGACTACATATCATGAGTCATCATATTCAGCAAGCTACCCAAGTTTGTCTTCTCAAGAGGGTGCCCAAATTCAAATTGTCCCTGTTTTTGTCATAAAATCTTAGATTTTCACTCTTTTTGCATGTTGCACATAGATTTTCAACAGACTGCCATAAGATTTTGGTGCAGTCCCAAGTTGTTATGTCACTACCACAAGTGCTGACATATTGTTATAGCCTCCAAACTTTTGTGACTGCATTTGGAGTTAGGAGTTCGGCATTCGGCATCTATAACAAATGGCAGGTGATAACATTTTGCATGTTAATACCTTCTTCTAAAGCTGGGGAGATCACTGTTATTTTATTTCATAATCCTCAGAATGTGGTATTAAATCAGAAAGCAATGTATTGGACTTTTGTTCTTCATAAACTGTCATAAAATCAAACAAGCTGATTTTTCATAACTACATCATACATAATGCCAGAAGCCAGCGCCATCTTTCAAACCAGTTATAAGAATGGATAACATCACAAAATTCATAGAATGTAGCATACCGTACATGTAATATTGCTCTTTTTGTTTAAGTCCTAACATATGCACTATTTTTGCTAAGATAGTACTCCACTTGCTACTAATATATAATACTCCTTCAGCACATTGTCATTGGTACACATACTAGGCCTATTTACTGTTTGGTATTCTTTTGTTTATATTTTTGTTTAAAATTCTTTCTTTATTTTGTTGTATGTATAAAAATGTAAATTTTATACAGTGTAAACAAAAGTATATTAGTTCTATTTCATTATATAGAAAGCATTTTTACAGGCATTTTGGAGAGATCAGGGTTTTAGTGGAGAGATAGTTTGTCATGGTGGCCCAACCCAAATGGAAGGCTGTGATAGTGGTCCCCTGGGAGTCTTGTTTGACTGCACCTCACCAGGTGGCACTCCCGGTTTAGTAGGGTTTATATCGGGCAAACAGGCCATACAATGGGCTAACAGGACAGTAAGTACACATGCACTTAGATGAAAATTTTCCTTTCTCAATACAGTTCATTTATGTTAATAAAAGACAACTGCCGTGTAGCTATCTATGAGGCAGGTGAAGGTCACCCCACATTTTGAAGACTTTTTTTTTCAGAAAAATGAAAGATTATGTGCCACAGTGTGAGCCTGTATTTCAGATAAATGAAATCAACATAGATTGTAGAATAGATCTAATACTAGTACTGCGTGTCTAAAAATTCTCAAGAAAAAGAATTCAGAAAAATTTGAGCGTCTGTAAAAGAGAGAAGGGTGCATATGCAGGATCTTGAAAAAGACTAGAGAAGTTACAGCAATTGGGGATAATCCGGCATGTCATTTCTCTTTTCATATGGAACAAATGGATGAAATTCCTTTTTATAAAAAATGTACCTCCTTTGCCTCATGATTCTACTGGTTGCTGATTTTTTTTTCACTTACGGAAGTGCAGGCCTGTAGCCAGGAGGGGTTCGATGGGTTCCCCCCTGGCCAAAAATTCTTTCAAAATCATGCAGTTTTTCACCATTCTGAGTACTTTTTAAGTGATTTTGGCCATTTTTGGACCAAAATTATCACAAGTGAACCCCCCCTGGAATTTTTCAAAAAGTGAACCCCCCTTGGCAAATCCTGGCTACGGGCCTGAAGTGGTTCATTACATTGATTAATAATATCAGTATTTATTCATATCTTTTCAAAATTGTAACTGTTCAAAATTGAATCATTGCTGATTCTGCTTTGGTCAATACCACTCTTAGACTCAGTAATAATTCTTTTAGGAAGATGAACGGAAATCGGCAGTTTTAAAATCCCTTGTTGAATACTTTGGTCCTGAAGCCGACCAATGTGTGATGTACATGGAGAAGGACTGGGGCAAAGAATCATACAACGGAGGTTGTCCAGTCAGTACTGTTGGGCCTGGTGCTATGACGTACTTTGCTTCAGGTCTTAGGAGACCATTTGGAAGGTACTTGGTTTAAATCCTGCTACTATACTAGTTATTAATATGCATTTTTCTAAAAAATGTGACTTGTTTTTTTTACTTATTTTAGTCAGTAATTTGAAAAAATCAGTTTTATCAATGTTGAGAATTAATCTTCTTTTAGGCTACAATAACATTCATTTACCATGTTTGATTACCGGATTTTCTCGCATATACGCCCCCCTAAATTTAGGCCCATGGGCCAAAAATCGAATGTAGTACGCTTATACGCCCATGGGCCAATAAAAATGACTATTTATTGATTTTTTCAATAAATTCAAGAGTTTTTTGTCACTGGCAGATCGTTCTGTCGTTACTTTGTTTCAACATTAAGTTCAATGCTGTGCCGTAAGTGGAAGTGGTGGATCGTTCTGTTGTTACTTTGTTTCAACATTAAGTCCAAGGTTGTAGGTGACATTTCCTTTATAATTCTTACAAAACATGCAGTAGGACTACAACAGTAGGTACGGTAGTCTTTGAGGAAGATGGCTGATGCCCACCCCGCAGTGGCTCTTCTCACCTTTACACCCACTGGGCCAAAAATCGAAAGTAGTACACTTATACGCCCATGGGCCCATTAAGAGGTAAAAAAATAACAGACGAAATTACCCCTTCTTTCAGTTATACGCCTAGGGCTTATATGCGAGAAAATCCGGTATTTTGGGCTACGATAGCATATAATGGGAACTTAAAATCAAAACATTAACATGTATGTAGTACAAGTTGCCCTATATAAATGCATTTAGTTTTCCACATAAATAATCATTCATTTACAGTGTTTACTGAGTCTGTTACATAGACTACACACCATAGTGTAATATGTCATTGATTGTTTTTTAGTTTGCCATATTAGTTTTCAATAGACATGAGTTTTATGATTCCCGTTGACACCAACGGGAAATTGCAAATCACCCGTTCATAAACACAGCTCTAAAGCTGATCGGGTATTTGAAGTAGACTAAGTAGCGTTTGTTTTGTATGCGCGCTATATACATTGCTGTATTGATTCATTATCCCATCGAACAAAGTTCGGAGGTATATAGGGAACGCCTCCGTCCATCCGTACGTACGCCCGTAGGTACGTCCGTCCATATGTCCGGGCAATAACATAAATACCATTGGCCTGATTTTGTTCATATTTTGTATACATATACCCTATGGGGGTAGAAGGCGATTTTCAAAATGGCCGCTCATTTAAAAATGATGGCCATTTTAATGCCGATTTTACAGTAATTTAGGTGCAATATGTAAAACTGTAATAGCAATATGTTTTGAAAGTAAAAAAATTATATAGGACATTAATAAAGCTAGACATGTAGATATTAAAGAAGCACATGGCAGCCATCTTGAAAAATGGTGGCCTTTACTTGTTATTTTACGATTTTTGCTGTAACTTGAAAAGTAGTGGAGTGATTTTGTTCATATTTGGTATGTGAATACTATAAGCATGGCACACTGTCTATTGACACTTTTGGTAGAAAGTGGCCATTTTGAAAAATGGCAACCATTTTAACATTTTACTATAACTTGAAAAGTAGTGAAAAACATCACTAGCTTAAACTCTCTATTGTCCAATATCTGATACTTTTAGGCTTCAATAACATATATTTAGCCCATCGAACGAAGTTCGGAGGGATATAGGGAATGCCTCCATCCGTCCGTCTGTAAGTACGTCCGTCCGTCTGTCCGTCCATCCATCCAGGCAATAACTAAAATACCGTTGGTACGATTTTGTTCATATTTTGTACACATATACCCTATGGGGGTAGAAGTTCTGCTTGAAAGCTGATTTTCAAAATGGCTGCTCATTTAAAAAATTTACTATAACTCGAAAAGTAGTGGAGCAATTTTGTTCATATTTGGTATGTGAATACTATAAGCATGGCACACTGTCTAATGACACTTTTAGTAGAAGGCAGCCATTTTGAAAAATGGCAACCTTTTAACATTTTACTATAACATGAAAAGTAGTGGAGTGATTTTGTTCATATTTGGTATGTGAATACTATAAGCATGGCACACTGTCTAATGACACTTTTGACACTAGAAGGTGGCCATTTTGAAAAATGGCTGCCATTTTTGCTATTTACTTTGTTTGTTAAAATGCCAGCCATGGCTGTTCGATGGGATTTGCTATGCTTTGGCGTTGCTGTTGTCTAGTTACAATATGTGATGCTTGTGATATATGTGCAACAGAAGCAATATATTATTTAATGTGTGATTCTTTTAGGCTACACTATGCTGGTACAGAGTCTGCAACTCAATGGTGTGGCTTTCTCAATGGAGCGATCCAAGCAGGGCACAGGGCAGCAGTAGAGGTATATAATATATATAATATGTATATATATATAGTATATAACACAGTGATCTCCCTTAGCATTGTAGCAAGTGTGTGCTGCACCCTATTAAAATATTGAAATTGGCTTGCACCCACTTGAAAACCCATTGGCACCCACTTCATAATGAGAAGATCACTCTATTCACTATTTAGGCCCATAGCCAGGATTTGCCAAGGGGGTTCACTTTTTGAAAAATATTGGGGGGGGGGGCTTTTGACAACTTCGGCCCAAAAATGGACAAAATCTTTATGTTTTTTTTGGAAGATTTTTTTGTGGGGATGGGGAACTTCCGTGGCTACAAGTCTGCTATTTACTATTTTACTGCTATTGAACTCATTGTGAAGAAAAACAAAAGGATTCAGAATTTGTGAAAATAACAGTAGTCTTGACTGTTTCACCAGATTTAAACTTGTGGTCTGCTCTTATGAATTACATGTCTTTGTTTATTTGATTTGAAAACTATATTTTTCTGGATAGCTCTATCAGTACAGAGGCCCAGTGATAATTTATAATTATTTACAATATACTAGAATACAATTATTATAAACATGTATTAGTAGTAGATATATAGGACAAATAGGACAATTAATATATTGTACCTTAAGTTCTTACAAGAATATTATTAAAGAACAACTTTACATGAATATAAAGAACGACTTATGAAAACTAGTTTACTTTCCAAGGTTTGTACAGAGGAATTTTCAGATGTTATATCTTATGTTATAATATACATTATCTATAATACCAATTTTGATGATTTCTGATTTTTATTAGGTGATGTACGAACTCCGTCCACAGACAATTTCCGGGAAGGAGCTGGAGGGTACCGCTTACTGTACCCTACCTTCAGTTGAGCCCCTCCCTAAGAAAAGTCGGCACATCCTACGATTCACTTTTGCCCTGGGAGCTATTGTTGTCTTTGTTGCTGTGGCGAGGAAAGCATATTTCCGGATTGCACTTTAAAGGGTCTTCTTTGTGAAACCAGGATTTCTTAAAGATTGAGGTATCTTTCTGAAGTTACTGAATCACCTAGAGATTAAAGGGACTTGTATCAAGGAATAACATGGACATTGAAATGAATAGTAAATTTAAATACCACCTCATAAAATGTTAGATGTAATAAACCAATTAGCACAGTGAAATCTTTAAACACCTCTGTTAGTGGAATAACTTGTTAAATCAGCCTCTATAAGTGGAACACCTCCAAAGTGGAACACTTCAGAGGTAGGTAGGTACTTCAAAGGTATCCACTTAGACAAACACATTAAGATTGTATACCATATGTCTTGGGGCTCCTTATGCCTTATTTTGATGAACCCCTTAATTTTATAGAAACAATATTTTTATTTCACCACCAAGAAGTGGTAACATATTGTTATCCACAAATTTTTGTGACTGTCATTTGACATTATTCGTTGCCATAATTATAAAAAGAGATATTGTTACCATGCCAACGTTAGGATGGACTCCAATTAGTTATTGTAGAACCAATGTTTATTTTATGTTTTTATTTCATTCATATTTTTTACATTGTTATAATAATACCAGTGTATGCCATTCGATTTATTCAAATCATCATTAATTTGTGTATACAATCAATTCAGAAACTTTTAACTGATGGATTAACTATTATCATTCACAATAAAGGATACAAAGTTAATGTACTTTTTTATGAACCTGTAATAAATATATTTTACAATTCCATCAAGTTCACTTTGTCTCGTTGTTTTTCAATTTATCCCTAATGATAGCGTTTTAGATTCTTTTATACTTTTATGGATTATAGTTTTGCTATAATCTAATATTTCTGGTTGAAATATGAAATATTATTACTGACTAACATTATTACAATATATCACCCAACTTTCATCTATTACATACAGTCCAAATATGTATTGAAGTTTTAGTTGCCATGGATACGGTTGTGACTGGTACAGGCTCGTAGCCAGGGGGGGGGGGGGGTTCGCAGGGTTCGGGCGAACCCCCCCCCCCTGGCCAAATGCAGTTTTTCACCATTTTGAGCACTTCTCAAGTAATTTTAGCCATATTTGGGCCAAAATTGTCAAATGTGAACACCCCCTGGAAATTTTTGAAAACTGAACCCCCCTTGGCAAATCCTGGCTATGGACCTGCTGGTATGTGGAGTTGTTCCAAACAACGATAAAGTGTGACTCTAGACCGGATGATATGAGAATGAAAAAGAGTTACCAAACATAAATGTGACGTTTCTCTCTGTGTATCCATGGACCTCTATCGAGGATTGAGGTCCATATGGTATATCCAACTCCACGGTGTATAACCCAAACGCTCCGTCGTGCATGTAGGAGCGTTTGGGTTATACACCGTGAACTCTGGTTACATAAGAACAACCAGTTATCATTTTGGAGTGTATGTAATGATAGTTGCAGCATTTAGTGATAAAATTATGATAATTCTTTCTTCATTATACTCCATCAAAAAGGAAATATCTTGAAATTACAGTATTTGTATCTTTAGCATACTTCTTGGACACCATGTACCTACTAACCTACATACCTCTATTTTACAGTTGCAAATAACGAGAAAAATCAAAACTTATAAAAAGGATTAATTGCTGTTTTGAATAATATTTCATTTTTGCAGCTTATAATTCAAGGCAGACGTCACAGGTGCCAAACATTTGTCAACCTGATTGGTTAAATATATGTAGATATGTTGACAAGACAAATTGAAGCAGATTTGAACCTGTCCGATGTATCAATAATGAAAAACCTTATACCATTTATCTTTGATTTTATTAAATGCATTTGTACTTGAAATAATAAATTTACTGTTAAACAAATAGTAATGGAAACTGAGAAATATAAATCTGTGTTGGTTCTCAAATTTGTATTTGGGAACTTCAACTGTTGAAGATGAAGTGCCTACTTCTAACATCGGCTCTGCTCGTGTAAGTATGAATATACGATATTTAATACTATACTTGCATACAATATACAATCATGCTAAATTTGTATCATGTTATATGATTAAGTACAATGTAATTAAAAAATCAACGTTATAATATTTACTTTGAAGGAAAGCCGCACGTTTTGACAAATCACTGCGCACAGAGAATTTTATCGGCCCAACCTGTACATTGTCATTTTAACTCGCATTAGTTTTCTTTCAGCGTATACTTGATGGTTCACTCATCCCATGCACAAATAAGACCTATATCGCCTTGGGATGGTAGTTTCGGAACCGGTGGCGATGGCACTGATGGAACAGGGACCGGAGATCAGGGCGACCAATCCCAAGGCGATAGTGTTGATGACGATAAAGGTATAATTGTAGCAACGGCACGAATCTCGAACATCGATTACGCTGAGGATCCTAATTATGAAGGTCAGTTAATAGACAATAATCAGTATTTTTTAAATTCTTGATATTATATACTGAGCCATCCTCCAAAGACAGGCCTCTAAAACTTGAAATTGTATCCCTTGCCAGAAGACACGGGTGGAAGAGGTTAGGAACATAATGAATGATGTTTGGAGCTCTCCGTTCGGAGTATGTTACTTGGTCATGTAAAAGTCAAAGTATGAGGAGGTTAAGTTATACGTTTTTAAGAGAGCTTGTACGCGAATGTGTGATATTATAATCACATGAATTAGCCTACTGTCCCACTCTCCGCAAGGTCTCTTGCGGTTTTTCCAGGGACCGAATTTCAAGTATTTTTCTTATACCTTTTTATCCCATACTTGGACGACGGACGTGTTAAAGGTACATAAAGCAGGTTTGTAAAAACCTATATTTTCATCCGCGGGCAAATATAGCTTTGTATCTCATACTTAAGTGGGTATGGGGTAGATATCACCTGGGAATATATATCATATCTGAGGAGCGGGCAGGATATATTGTATATGTCCCGCTCCAGGCCAAATGCGGGCAGATATAATATATCCATCCCGCTCCCGGGAATTTTTCAAAAGTTTAAAAAAGTTTAAAAATCAAAAATTTTGAAAAGTTTTAAAGTTTAAGTTTTTTAAAAGTTTAAATGTTACAATTTCATCGTATTGAACAAAAAGAATATTACGAAAATGTTAAATATAAATTGTGCTTTTACTATAGGCCTATCTTGTCATTTGAAAAGGTGGAAAAGGTTATATCTACCCTAAACCCACTCAAGTATGAGATACACCAGTTATGTACGGTCGGTTTTGGATATAGGGTATGTCCCTCGGGAAATATTTATATCTCCCCTTGGTCACTTCGGTCCCTCGGGGAGATATAAATATATCCCTCAGGATATACCCTATATCCAAAACCTGCCAGTACATAACCCTTATACATTCCGCTCCGAGCTGGCAGATAAAGTATATCTGCCCGCTACGTCATAAATCATAATCGCATATCGGTTATTTTTTTGTAACGTTCGCATATAACTATAAACGACAATGGAGAAAAACGTATGCGATCTTTTTGATGATAAAACTGGACATGGATATTCAGAAATATTTCCACGGTTGAACTGTGGCCAATTCCGGGGGCCAATTGAAGAATTTGAGCCAGATGACCAAGAATGGTATGGGATAAACAGATCATCCTATAGTCGGTTTAGTATTTGAATTATCCCAATACCCTGAACCCCATGTAGGATAATCTTTATATACGCAATCAGGCAAGTAAATAGTGCGGTGTGGAGAACTTAATCTCTTGGGGAGCACAATTCTACAAAATGGCGAACACGTTATTTTGAAAAACGTGTACCTAACCTCCCCGTTATCAAAAGGCGCATTCCCAATGTTAAAGTCATTGCATTGTGTAACGGCTGTTGTAGTGGTTGTTTTTATTATTGTTTTTTGTTGTTGCGTTGTTGCCAACTCATTTCAGTGTTGCTTTTGATGATGCTCCGCTCTTGTGTCTGTTGTCGCCGTGTTGTTATTATTATTTTTTGATTGCTATAGTTACAACAATCAGAGCTAAACAGCTTAATAACGAATCTCTAATTTTGAGTTTTACGCAAACTTCACAGATTACAAAGGACAAGCGGAACAGGCTATTGAAGAAAGTGAGAAGGTGGAGAAGACCAACGTGAACCCACCTCGGACACGTGCTGACAATGCGGCGGATGAATCCGTCGGTGGTGATTTTCCAGCAGAAATAACAGCATTGAACAACGAGCTTGTCACCAAACCAGAAGAATTGGTTGACAACGATGCCGATTTAAGTAAGTATTGATTCACTTCAAAAGATCTGCTTTTCCTTATCAAGGGGTCCTTGGCAGCGTCCAAGCCGGGCGTCCAAGTTCATACAACACGGGAAACATAATCAAACATTTGTGCCAGTTGAATTACACCTGGTGCCAATTTTTCCGAAATGGCTCATTTCATCTAAAATATGACGAGGCCTTTCAAAAACACGAGGAGGACAATATTAAAACTGACACAATAATTGCTTTGATCAATACATGTAACTACGTGACATAAAAATTAAGATTCAAATATTCATTAATTTGTATGCTTGGGTTTGTTAGCTGTGTCGGGTAAAAGTAGATCGGCTGATAAGATCGACAGCCCTGCTACCGCCCCTGAAGATTCAACTGATGACGCTTTGATGGTTGGACTATCCGAAGAGTACACCAAGAAGTTTTGGTATTACCCTCCTGCCCCCGTCCGATGCGCGGGCCAGCTCTTCGATCCGCTCCGCTATTTCTGCTGCAATGGTAAACTGCACTGGAAGAACTTCTACTATAAGTATATCAAATATAACAACATGCCGTACGCCGACGCTTGCTGTAGCGGTGTACCTTTTAACTCCCAGGTAAAGATTTGCTGCAATGACAAGTTGTTTTACATCGGCGAGATTGGGCAGCCAGGTCACATCGGTTGCTGTGCCGATCAAGCCTACAACAAACGCAAACAGCTATGTTGCAATAAGATGCTGTTCGACAACGACCAAACCTTGAAGTGCTGCGGGTACGAAGTATACAGAGAGCGAGACGCCCTCTGCTGTAAGGGAGTAATCGTGCCGCGTCGAGGAAATCAAGCGATTGAATGCTGCGGTAGTAACTCGTATAACCCCGCTAGTCAGCGATGTTGCAACGGAAACCCCCTGAAACGAAATAATAATGAAAGGTGCATCGGGGGTGCGGTGTATGACGCAAACACTCAAATAAGTTGCGGTGGCAAAATTTACTCAAAACGACGGTATAACTCTTGTACACCAGGAGTCTCCGGCAATCGACCGTATCGCAGCCCAGACCAAATGAACTGCGGTGGTAAAGTCTATTCTAGAATATTCGGCCAGACAGTCGGGGATCGTGGAACAGGTTGCTGTAGTTGCTACATGAACGGCAAATTCGTCTCTAAAATCTTCAATCTTCGCACACAGAGATGTTGTGGCTGTAAAGTTTACAATATCCCAAGTCCCACATACACATCCTGCTCGTGTCATTACCTCTACTATTACTTCAACAGAATATATCCGTACTTCCCGTATTACTACTACTACCCACGACCCTACTATTACCACCATGTATACCCCACATGTCGACTAATGGATCCGAACGCTCATTCTACCTGCAACGGAAACATTTTCCCCAAGTTCAAAAGCTACCAGAAGTGCTGCAACAAAGCCCGATATGATGAGAGATTTCAAATATGTTGTAGCGGCCAAGTTCGACAACGAGCGAGCCAGTACACGACGTGCTGTGGAACTGAGACTTATAATTACAAAGAACACACCTGCTGCTTTAACCATGTAGGTTTCCAAATTCAATTCATTCATTTTACCCCATCCGGCAAAGTATAAAGCTTTAACAATTAATACTGAATTAATTCAACCTAGAAACGTCATTTTCATAAGGAACAGATTGAAAAATTTACGTTTCCGCAAAGGAGGTCAAATTGAATTTGGCGTTTTGGTTAGCGTTTAAAGAAGGCTTTGGCCCCTTCAGATTTAGGGCAAACATATTTAGTATAAAAGACATTGATTTGTTCGATTTTAAATCTTCACAGGATCACGATGTACTTTTACTGGGAATACATAGTACTATCTACAGGAGTGCATCTACGCGAAAAACCAATGTTTTCACGAAGTCAAAATTAATATGTCCCACATTTTTCCATGTAGGTTTTGAAGATCATAGATGGCAAGAACAAGTGTTGTGGCTTTGAGATGTACAATAGAAACACCCATAGCTGCTGCAAAGGCCTTGTGGTGAAGGGAGGTACCAATCATTTATGTTGTGGTAACAAAGCATGGAACGGCGCATCATATGGTTGCTGTGAAGGCAAGCCGTTTTATAAGCCGAAGTACAGTTGTTGCAACGGGGTGGTAGCTACAGGCGGCGGGTCTAGGAGAAGGTAGGGTCACATCACTCCAGGGTCCCTTGGGATTTTTACGAAACAATTCCTCTAAATATTTCCCTAACTTTTCCCAAACCGTATTCACATGATATCGAAGCCGAGGAACACGCAGTCATCACCTTATGTGTATAAGCAATGTGTGACCAAAGACTTTATTTGGTCGTGGACGTTATATACTCGCATATCCGGCCTCCTTTTTAACTTCCGTACATAGTCCATGTTGGTCTCATTTCTTACAATTATCTACGTGTATAATCCAAATAATAAAACGTTCATAATATTCAGGTGTTGCGGTACAAAGACTATTGATAGATACACTCAAACATGCTGTGGTCTGACTACACCCCACGCTAACCTCCAATACCCCGCCGTGATATCATGTTGCGGAACCAGTTCATTCGACAGTACGACGGCGGTCTGTTGCCACGATACCGAAACTATTCATCAAAAACCAAGAGGAGATACTGGAAGCTACCAATGCTGCTACAACACCATTTATAAGTCCGGAAGAGGCAAGAAGTGCTGTAGAGGCGAAATTGTCTCGACGAGTTATACTTGCCCAGTTTATTAAAGGCGATTCCTTTATTTAAATCTTATTTTAACCATTGAAAGTAATAAAATTATTAGTTATCACACTCGAAGACATTGTGAGAAAATGTAGTGTTGTGTAAAAATGATCAGAATTGATGACCCCCGAAAGAGATTTGAATCCATTCTTACAAAATACCAGGCGTCACCGACTCACCTACATGAACATAATTATTAAAATACATGCTCAATCAACAACCTGAGCCAAACCTTAAAATATTAGCTGGTACTTTACCACAAACTGTATTTTGACGGGCAAAAATTAAATGAAATCTATATTTTACCTTTTGCTCAAGGTTTTTCAATTCAAAAATTAAGGGAGCTGTGAAATACGCTTTCGTATTTTTGATCACATGGTATTGAATCAGCCAATCAAAGGACACAAATTCTAGCAATGATATAATAATGTAAATTACCCAGTTGTGTAAGCCAAAATAGAGAAGCATCAGTATCCACACGTGAACGAACCAGTGCAACAAATATATTATGTGTATTGTAAACACTCGAAATGACGTACGTTTGTAAGGCAAATTAAAACAGGCGTTGAAAGGCATGTACAACAGGTATTGATAAGCGACGGATACAAAGGACTTGCAGAAATGGTGATACCATTCACGCTCCTAGTTTACGTAAATGATTGAAAAAGTATAAACAATGCGAAAAATGTTGTATCGACAATAATTGCTATCATTAAGTCGTATACCTGTACAATGAAACTAAATAATAAAAACATTATCTTTTCATCGCAAATCTAAATTGTATGCCCCATTGTTAATTATTTCAATACAAATATGTTTAGATGAGTTTTACAACTGAACATTGAACGCATACATGCTATACAATTTGGTGGGCGAAATGCTATATAATTAAAACGGTCACATACGACTTACACTTAATACGTATAGATTTCGAAAACAGCACCAAAGGATGGGAAGATTTTTCACTATATATGCGCTGTTATTAAGGTAAGAGGGTATTTTTATGGAAAACTATTAATACGTGTACTCGTATAGACTGTCATACAAAATAGAGCAATTATGGGAAATCAACGCTCTGATTCTTTACCACTTCATCCCAATACTATAATTTTTTTAAAAATAAATACTCATTTATATCTTTAAATCATTAAATAAATTTACATTGTTAATCACGGCGTAATCGCCCATAGAATTGAGATATCCTCTTTATCACATCAAGACGGGCGATTTCTTAACATTTAAAGGTGCAAAAACTAGTTAAGACAGAGACAAGATGAAATTTACTGTTTTACACAAACATTTATATATACATGTAACAGTATAATTATCATATTAATATCAATATTCTTTATAAATGCGAAACGAACTGCGCTTTATTTCTTTGCAATGTCACCATCACAACGGTCTATGTGCAGTATGGCAAGAGATTTTAGACAGTCATATCTTTCAGCAAGAGATTTTAGACAGTCATACCTTTCATCATGGGTACTTTCTGGGCATAAATACGTGGTAATTATTAAAACAATATGTTTTATTCAAGCGAAGTACCCATGATGATAAAAATATCAATTGAACAATTCGAAAAATTATGAATAGGGATCCCATGTCGAGATTTTTCAAAATGTTGAACCGAATTACTCAAAAATTAAAGAGGTTCTTCTTTTTTTCTGATTTTTATTGCATGAAAAGATTATTCAACAAGGGGTCTAAAACTTCTTCAAAAATAGAATGGTATTGAAAGTCTGGTTTGAACCAAAATTATGCTGAAAACAATGGATAACACGAGTTTTCCCTATGGGAAAAAAACATGGGATGTCTGGTTTTTAACTTTAACGCATTTCAATACCCATCATCTTTTCAGAAATTGTTAATATAGTGTAGAAGAAACTTCCGATATCTTTAAATTGAGAAACACAAGGTCCTCTTTTTAGAAAATGAGCCTAACATTTTTAAGAAAGTGTCAAGGTGGGGTCCTAATCGAAAAGTTTTCAGAGAGTTGAATTGATATTTTACTCTCATGGGGACTTCACTTGAAAGACAACATATTGTTTTAATAAAAGCCATTGCATTTATGCCCAAAAAGTACCCATTGTGAAAGATATGACCGTTTGAAATCACTTGCCATGCATACTGCACATTGACCTGTTGACATATTGTTATAGTCTCCAACGTTTTTGTGGACGGTGTTCGGAGGTCGGTGTTCGGCGTCTGTAAAAATGTCAGGTGGTGCCATTTTGCATGGTGATGCCTGTGTTTATATCATAATCTCTAAGTTTGTAGGCATTCGTGGACACGCTGGCAGAGGACAATGTAAAAATTACTAATTAACATTTAATTAATTATTAATCAGCAATTTTAACATAAATGGGACAAACTTCAAATGTGCAACATTGATCCAGCTGTCATCCGACATAAAATACCAGAACAACGAATTATTAATATTCTAATTGGCCTGAATTTAGGTGAAAATCTAGTTTCAATTAAATATACAAAATAAATAGGATTTATAAGTCATATTATTTCTATTCAGTTTTTGCTTGGTACTACAATGCACGCAAGCAGGTGACGTTGATTTCGATGGCATAGCAGGATCTGACGAACCAGAAGGTGAAGGTTCTGGAACAGAACCAGACGATCCAGGTAAATTATCTGAGAATCCTTAAATTATATAGCTAATAAACTCCATCGATAATAGGAGGGGAGGGAGAGGGTAGAGATCGATTATCTTGTTTGACACACGGATTCAATCCAATCCTCAATCCAATCCACACATAAGGTTTACTATTGTGTCAGGTAGCTTAATCGATCAAATGTTATATTATAAGGAAACTCGAATGGAATGAAACTGTCTTTCCAAAGAATAAAGTCAGTCTGTTATTTACAATATTTTGTTTCACTGACGTTTATTATTGAGAAAGCGGCTTTAAGGTCAAATGCCCATGAAGTTTATGAGTTCAAGTTCATCAAGTTCATAACATTAGCGATATTAAGAAAAACGGTGATAGTTTAAATAACTTTTAAAGACAAAAACAACACATAAAAAAGTTCTTGGGCCAAAGTAAGATAAGCAAAATTATATATTGGGAATTTATAAAAAGTGAAGAGACAAATATAAAGTACATCACTGGTTGGAACAAAATCTGAATCTGTCACTTAACAAAAAAAGACTGGGAAATGATCAATAGAATCTATAATGTCAGCAATTTTGAACCAAAATTAGCTTCATTCAATTTTAAAATTCTTCATAGATTTTTGGCCACCAACACATATTTGAAAATGTGTGGATTATCAGAATCGGATCTGTGTACCTTTTGTAAAGTAGAACCAGAGTCAATCTGTCATCTCCTCTATGACTGTAAAGTGATAATGGACCTGATAGTAGTCATTAAAAACTGGTTACCAGAGGAATTGACAGGACTTTGTACAAAACAGAATATTTTAATAGGACCAGTATGTATAAATGACAGAACAATTATCCTGACAAATACTGGTATATGGAGTATATTTAAAAGATATGTGTACCTATGCAAATACTCGATGTTATGCTACCTTTAAAAGGATTTAAAGCAAATGTAATATCTTATTGTAATATTGATAATCAAATAGGCAGGGAAATTATGGGTACTAGATTAGATTAGAATAGTGTGGTTAGATGCCTTAAAAAAGAATATGATGGAAAATTGTGTGACTCCTGTGATATTATTATGTATATTGTATATGTTAATGTAACTGCTTTCAAATGTTTTATTTTCAATGAATAAAAAAGGAATAAAAAAATATAGATATATTATTCAATGTTGAAGGTCAACGATCATGTGTGTATACCTATAAAATAACAGAGGTAATATTTTCAGGTCAAGGTGATTAGAAGGTCAGGGAAATTGAGGTCAAAGTCATGTTAAAAGGTCAATGTCATATTGAAGGTCTGAGGTACAGATTTTTCACAATTTTGCAATCTAAGTCTCCTTAGGTGATTCATCGAAGGTCAAACTCATGTGTAAAAGTCAAGGTCAGTATACGAATATCTCTGGAATGGCTCAGAAGGATCCTTGTCATTCAAGGTCATAATCAAAGGTCGACATCTTCACAAAAGGTCAAAGGACAATGTTTTCGTCTCACTTGAGGGTCACATCATCTCATATACTTCATAATGATTTATTATATCTATATACTCATAATTTTTGACAAAGATAATTATTTCCTAACCAATAACAAATATGTATGTACTATATATCATTTTATTGGAAGTATTAAACTTTTCACCCAAGCTCATTTGACCTCCCCATATTGGATTCTAAATAATTCCATTGCAAGCATAATTTTGATATGAAAGCGTTTGATTAAGAGTATGGTGAAGCAAAATGTCTACAAATAAAGTAGTAAACGAATATTTGTTTATAATTGCCTAAAGATTCAGTTTACAATAATGCTATGCTAGTAGGTAGTTACCAGTTTCACCACCAGGTGGCTCGTTCGGGTCAGATAGCATGGCGGGTACAGCAGAAAGTTTCCTTTAAGTTTTACATCTTGGTGGTTCAATTTTCATATGACCCTTATGCATCTAATAGTTATGCAAATTAAAATATTTCCAGTAAAATAAAATGTTATCTGCCCAATAAAGAAAAGATGTATCACTTTTTGTGATTTTATAACATCTATGGGGAATCTCCTCGAACTAGAAGTCACATTTTCAAAAAAATTGATGAACAATTATCGAAACAGTATTTCTAGATGTACTTTAACATGTAGATTTGACTGAATTTTGAATATTTAATGACATAAATGAAGATTATTTCCACTCGCATCTAGTATATAATCATTACTTTAAGATAGACTAAAACATTCAATTCGATTGTAGCACTTATGCTACTGTTGTGATATTTTATCCGACGTTTTATTAGTATCAGTTTGAGCCATTTTATCTGTTGCATTTCGAGGGAATATTATTTTGTAGATCCAATTGATGAAGGAGAAATAACAGCTTGGAAAGAGGAGATTAAGAATAGAGAAAAGGCTTCGACTCCTCCAGACGTTAACGTCGGTGATGATGATGCAGGTGCAAGTCAAGGGGGAGAACTTCCTGAACAAATACAAGCTCTTATAGATGATACTTTGTCGCATTCTGAAGAAATATCTCCAGAAGTAAAACCTCCAGAGGATAACACACCTGATAGGGTGGCGGCTGGGAAATCTGCATCGTTCACAAAGAAATATTGGTACTATCCCCCATCACCGGTTCGTTGTGCAGGACAGCTTTTTGACCCCATACGCTATTTCTGTTGCGACGGAAAACTCACGGCCAAGACATTCTACTATCGCTATCAGAAGTATGACGCCGTGCGTTACGTCGACGCCTGTTGTTGTGGCGTACCATACAACACACAAACGCAAATTTGCTGCAAAAACAAAATATATGAAATAACGAAAGTTGGTCGCCCGGGGTATATAGGATGCTGCAACGACCAGGCGTACGACAAAGATAAACAACTCTGTTGTGACGGCAAATTATTCAACAATGACGAAGGATGTACTTTGAAATGCTGCGGATGCGATGTTTACAGGAAAAAAGACGCACTCTGCTGTAACGACATAGTGGTGCCACGAAGAGGAGATAACAAAAAGATGCAATGCTGCGGCAACAGTGGATATTACCGTTCGACAGAGCTGTGTTGTAATGGTTGCGCCATCAAACGCGTCGGGCGTGAACTATGTTGTGGGGACGGGACATACGACCCTTCAAGAGAAATTTGCTGCGGTGGTAAAAAATTCGCCAAATCGAGGTATGACTCGTGCTGTTATAGTCCCCCAGATGGCGCATTAAGTCGTCCGTACAAAGCCAGCACTCAAATTTGCTGTGGTGGTCGAGTGTACAATCGAATATATGGCATGAATACACGCTGTTGCAGTTGTTATATGAGTGGAAAATACTCAGCTAGGATCTTCGATGTCAGAAGGCAGAGGTGTTGCGGTTGTAGAGTATTCACTATGCCGTCTAGTTCGCACACTCATTGTTGCTGTAAATACATGTACTATTACTTCAATCGCTACTGCCCTTACTTCCCGTACTACTACTATTTCCCCAAACCATACTATTACCACTACAACTACCCTACCTGTCGACTAATGGATCCAAACGAGCACTCATGTTGCAACGGAAACATATTCGACAAGTTTAATTCACAGTACAAACGATGCTGTAACTCGGCAAGCTACGACAGCAGAACTAAGATATGTTGTAATGGGCAAATTCGGGACAGATGGAACAATGGTGAGCCTCAGCATATGACTTGTTGTGGAACAGAGGCTTATGATAGACGATATCATACTTGCTGCTATAACCAGGTAAGACCGCATCCTCATCATATTAAGGCTCTATGTAACAAACACTTGTGTAGGCCTAGCATTAATATATCTGCTGGTATAATCATGAGTGCAACAACGATATCCCGTAAACAGGACACTAAAGCCCGTCCTCAAGTTGTATACTAGATAGTATTTTAAAGGCCCGCTGGAAAATTTAAAAATATAGTGTAATAACTCAAATATTACTTTTCATGACTTCTAAAACTACATGCGACATTTTTTGAAACGTTCTCTACTCCATTAAATAGGTTATTTTATCATAATCATCCAATATGGTTTTATGCATATATAAACTTTTAAAGCATATTTGAATTTTTTCTCGAGGATACGCTGTGATGTCATTCAGATGGTAATATATCTTTTTCAAGCAAATATTTTCTAAATATGCTAAACTTACAAATAAAGCAATACTTTTAGCTTACATAGGTATTAGGTAGTAAATAAGTTTTTATTATGAACCATTGAATTCCAGGAGAGCTTAAATTTCAAAATGCTTTTTTCTTCGAATCGCTTTTTGAGTCTATTTGTCAATTTCCCTTTCTTCCAATCTTCTTATTTTTCAACACAAAATAGGTGAGGACGATACGATATAGGTTTTAAGAGTTGGAGTAATTTCCTGAAATATGGTATTTGTGCTCAGAACACGGCATATCATAAGCTACATAAGTCCTCACTAAGGCTTAGACTTATATTACAAGCATTATGTTGAAAAATAGTAGCCATATCAAATTTTATTTTAGGTACTAAAGGTGTTTGATGGAAAACGTGCATGTTGCGGCTATGAACTGTACAATCCGACTGGTGGGCAGAGCTGTTGTAACGGTTTGGTAGTTAGGGGCGGGTCAGGTTATATTTGTTGCGGAGACAAAGCCTGGAATGGACGAAGCTATGGATGCTGCGAAGGTGCACCTTTTTACAAGCTGAGATGGAATTGTTGCAATAGCAAGGTTGTAAGAGGGGGACAATCACATCAGTAAGAATGACTTTACTTTTTGCACTAACACAAATGGTTTTAGTTCCACTACATTGTGTTATATTAAATACATTACTTAGTGAAGCAAATGCCCATTCCAAATCTTCCAAAGTTGAAAAGGTTCAGAAACACGTAGGCCTAAAATACCCAACTTGCATCAATATTCATCTTCTATAAATATCAGGTTTGATGTTAAACCTTTAAAACATTTCCCACATTCGTTTCCTGGAAAGAGGTTTGTACTATATTTAGTACTTGTATAATGCCTGTGCATGCATGCTGCTAAGGATTTTAAATCGTGGGTGTGTTAAAGACGAAGACCTTCTAATATTTCACCTTGTAAGCAACACTGATGCCACTAATTTATATAAATCCATTTTTTCAGATGTTGTGGTTCAAAAACATTCAATCCAAGAACGCATCAATGTTGCTGTAACTGTATCCATCCGCTTGTAAAGAACGCTTTGAACCGTTGCTGTGGTACAAGATCGTACGATGCGAATAGGGAAGTGTGTTGCTCAGATACCGACACTGTATATCGAAAGCCGTATACGTGCCCTACCTAGCTAGACTACCAACCAGTTGTATAAGCTATTTGAAATGACGAACTCCCATCAGTAATTTGCGTGGAATATATCATGTATGAATACTAACATATAAGGTGTAATAAATTATCAAATAGCAAAACATTCGTCCCACTTTTGCGCATGTGCTTCCACCTGACATTTAATGTGTCACGCATGACTGAATACGACTTTTAAAACGATATCCAAGACGTCGTGGACAGGATTCTAGCCTGTGCAGGCAGAGCTCATTTGATTTCGAGTCGAACAACTTAACCACTCGGCCACTACGAACCCAAAGCCCATTGAACTATTTCACACTACATCTCGCAAAGTCAACATTTTTACATACACTTTGATTATTGAAATAGGTACGAAAATGATATACTAGAGATTTAGACCAGGGCTAAATAAATTGTGGATGATTTAAACTAGGAATGTCTTGTATCAAGACTTTGAATGAGGATGGTAGCCCGAATGATGTACCATAGACTACATTAATCATAGTGTACAATAAACTGTATTTTGCCCTGCAAATGAAATCTACAGTTTACCATAGACTGTACATTAGCCAACTTCAAATTATAGTATACCATATACTGTATTTTGACTGGCGAGTAAACTCTGTAATGAGTCTTAACATTGACCAAATGTAATCGACTGTTTTGACAGGTAAATGAAATCTATGATGTACTATAAACTTACCTAGCTGAATATATAGTGTACCATAGACTGTTTTGAAATCTACAATTACCATAGTCTTTGGCCATCTGCATTGTATGGTATTGAATTCAATTTGTATTGTATTGTATTTTCAGGGTTCAGGGCTCCTGTTTCTTAAAGGAATATTCCTTGCCAGACCCTTTCTCTCTTGATATGGTAGCTATAATCATATATATAGTTTCCATATTTAGCAAAACATGGGAAAATGTTTAAATATGGTCAATATTGATCATTTAAAAAACTAGTGCTTATTTCCAGTGAGCTGCCATCTTTTAAGATTTCTTGCAGGAAGTGATGTCATCAACTCTCAACTTCTATAACCTTGCCCATAACAGTATAGGAAAGTAGCACAAAATCACTTCTAGACAAGTGATCATTACTTTCTGTGCAAAAATATTTTCAGGGCTTGTCAACTTAGAATAAAAGAAGAGATTTTCAGAAGGATTAAATAAGATACAAAGTTGAAAAAGAATATTTAGCTGGTTTTGTAATTCTTAATAGCTCCTCACCTAATGCTATATGCAAAGTTGAGAGTCGATGACATCACTTCCTGTGTGAAATTTTAAAAGATGGCAGCTTACTGGAATTGAGCATCACATTTCTAAGTGATCAAATTTGACCATATCAAAACATTTTTGCGGGTTTTGCTAAACATGGCAAGCATATATATGGTTATAGCTACCATATGAGGAGAGAGATGGTTTGGCAAGGAATATTCCTTTAAGAAATAAAAAAATTATAAATGTTAGAATACAGTCCATTTCATTGTTTTATTACGTCAGTAAAAAAAGAAATCAAAAGTCCACCCATGTAGCTCAGCGGTAGCGCAGGTACCTCTTACGCAATAGGTCCCGGATTCGATCCCCAGTTCAGGCAAGACTAAATTTGCTTGTTTGCGTGAAGTACTTCAGGGTGTTTGACTGAGTGGACCGCAACTCGTACAAAAGGCTGTGGTGTGTACTTATATGTCTATGTATAAGAGCACATAAAAGAACACAGGGCTCCTTCAAGGAGGGGTTTCTGGGTCTATCTTCCATGTTAATTACGTAAATTACGACCGTATATATACGGGACATACCCAAGAGGTATTGCTCACCTTCATTGGTGGTAAACAAAATACAATACAAAAGATCATTGTGCAATGATATATGGAAAAATATACACTTTTCCATATGTTATTGCACAATGGTCTGCTGATTTCTTATTTTGGGGTTCTACTGACGCAATAAAACAGTGAAATGGGCTTTAGCATTATTTTGAAAATAAACTTCTACCCTCCAAGAAGTTCCTTAATTAGCAAAGGATCAAATCAAATCGAAACCTTTTGTGCTTCCAAATAATACGTTTTCTACCCATGGCCAGGTGTCCTTGAATACACATTTAAGTTCTAGTATCTAGGTGCACAGACATATGGCAATGGTGGTCTGTCTACAGTACTGTATATTCTCTAATAAATAGCGGCGGAAATCCAGTCATCTTTGTGTCGACTCTTCAGTCTCTTTGATTGAATATATCCCGATTCATTGTACACAGGCTTATATATCAGTATATTAAGCTGACAACTTTTGAAAAATTTGTTGGGAAAACATTAACAAATATAGTTTGAAATGCTTAGAATGCACCGTATACAATGTTAATTTTTAAAAATATCCGGAGGACCCTCTCAGTGATGCAAACCCCAAAATCGGCACCCCCTTGATAATTCCTCACAACGCCCCCGATTGTTGTATACACGCTTGATGACGTACCTGAATTACTAGCGCAACTTACAACATGCGTGTTAAAAGGCAAATCAAAACAGGGATTTACAATCGTCGAATACCATGAAAGGACTTACAAATATGATGAAACCATTCACGCTCCTAGTTTACGCAAATGATTGAAAAAGTATAAACAATGCGAAAAATGTTGAATTGACAATAATTGCTATCATTAAGTCGTTTACCTTAACAATAAAGTTAAATAACAAAACATTATGTTTTTATTGCAAATCTAGATGATAACCCCCATTGTTAATTATTTCAATACAAATATTTTTTAGACGAGTTTTGCAACTGAACATTGAACGCATACAGACTTATACAGTTTCGTGGCCGAAATGCTATAAAAATCAAAACGGTCACGTAGACTTACATTTAATGCGTATAATTTTCGGAAACAGCACCGAAGGATGGCAAAATTTTTCATTATATATGCGTTATTAAGGTAAGAGTTTTTAAAAATTTTTATTGACAACCATTAGCAGGTACGTAGAAACTGTTATATATTATAAAGCAAAAAGCTAATCAAAAAAGACCACGTGCAGTATGGCAAGAGATTTCAGACAGTCATATCTCTCACCATGAATCTCTCTGGCCATAAATACAGTGGTTTTTATATTATTATATTTTTCTTCAAGTGAAGTCCCCATGATAGTAAAATATCAATCCAACTCTCTGAAAAATTATGGATTAGGTCCCAACCTTGGCACTTTTTGAAAAATGTTAGGCTTATTTTCTAAAAAGAGGATCTTGTTTTTGTCCATTTAAACATATCGAAAGCCTCCTCTACACTATATTTACAATTTCTGAAAAGGGGATGGGTGTTGAAATGAGTTAAAGTTAAAAACAAAATATCCCATGTTATTTTCCCATAGGGAAAACTCGTGCTATCCATTGTTTTCAGCATCATTTTGGTCATCGAAAATTGATATCTTCAAAACTAGACTTTCAATACCATTCTATTTTTGAACGTGTCTTAGACTCCTTGTTGAATAATGTTTTCATGCAGTAAAAATCAGAAAAAGAAGATCCTCTTTTGAGTAAATAGGTTCAATATTTTGAAAAAATTGTTGACATGGGGTCCCTATTCATAATTTTTCGAATTGTTTGATTTATATTTTTATCATCATGGGTACTTCACTTGAAAGGAAACGTATTGTTTTAATAAAACCACTGTATCTATACCCAGAGTATACTCATGGTGAAAATATGACCGTCTAAAATCACTTGCCATACTGCACGTGGTCTTAATCAACATTCAAACATGCAAAAACGAAATAAGACAGAGGCAACATGAATTTAACTGATTTATGTAATTCGCGGTATGGCTATATAATATATCAGTGCATGCTAGTTACTTAAAATAGCATTATATCATGATATTCTAAATTATTGCAAAAATATAAAATCATTTTATATGAGACAAAGCTGGAACCTTCAATTAAACCAAAACGTATTTAAATTCTTTATTAAATACGTAATGTAGTATATTTTGCTATTTTATGTCAATCAACGAGTTCTCTCAAAATGCAATTTAAATGCATCAATATCTGATTTTTGTATGATACAAAACCAGACTATGTGTATATTTCTAGTCTACGAAGATATGACGTAACTTCATGGAATTTTGAATTATAAAAACTGTATTGTATTATATCAACACGTCAACATCAAAATTCAAAACATTCAACATTGCCGTGGCACATGTTCATTACAGGGACCAAAACAGTATTAAACTTATTGCTCAGTAAGGCCATAAGAAGTAGATTCTTTGTTTTGCATCCCCTTGCTTGCACGATTTTGAGTAAATCAGACAAACAAACACATCCAAATAGCAATCACAAGGGTCTGAAAGTAACATCGCATTTCGTTCAATCGGAATCAGACGAAGCTATGTTTAAATATATTGTATAAAATGTATAGATATGTGTTTGTAATCACTGCATAAAATGTATACATTTCCCAGCAAAAAAGTTTGTGTTCTTTCTTGAGTTTGTGTTTGTTTTCCTTGTACCCTTGCATAATTTGGATTTTGCCAGGACGCAAAACAAAGAATCTACTTTTTATGGCCTAATTAAACAATTCGCATGTGTTTTACAGGCTTATATCTATGTCACAGTGTATATAGCCTAACATTCCCTACATTTCAAAAACCCTATTTTCAACGTTGTCAAGAAATTATCGTTTTGCATTTTGCACGGAAACACCGTTATAGGTCGCTAAACCGACTAAACTGATTGAAAATGAAAGCGTTGTTTGACGGATATTCCCGGGAGGTGAATATTGTTTTTGCGAGAGAGAATGGTAGGTGAATTTTATTCTCGTGAGAGGGATTGAAGGGGACAATATAAAAAATATATAACTCAGGATAAAGTATTTTGATCATTTTTTAAAGACAACATATTTTCATTTAGTGTTTGCTTGGTACTGCCGTATACGCAAGCAGATGACGTTGATCATAACGGCATACCAAGATCTGATTCTGACAAACCAGATAATGTAACTGAAACTAATGTAACTGAAAGTGATAGCTTGTCAGCAGGCGACACAGGTAAATCATCTGAGAATCTGAAATTATTATATCTTTTTAACCCGATCTCCAGTAGGAGGCGGGAGTAGAGATCAAATCCAACACTTATTTTACTAT